TTTTTGATTGCTTGTCATTTTTTAATTGCAAACAACAGAAATTCATTCTGGGTTTATCAACTGGAAAAGAACATTTTCTGGTATCCAATGCAGGCCTCACTGAATCAGGAGAACTTAAGCTAGAAAGTGGACATGAATCAGGACAGCCCGAGCAAGAACACAGAGATTAAGTGCTGCTTTTTAGCAGAGATTGTTGGGCCAGGGCTACAGAGTGCTGCCACTGGCATGGGTTACAGTCCCTTCTGAATACTGTCACAGTCCCTTTGCCTGCGAATAGCCTACTTTGGTTTCAAATTCCAGGATGGGAGTTTCTGATTGAGTACAGTCCATAGGACCACACCATACCCACCCTCTAGAGCATAGGGCATAGGGAGATCTTCCTACTTCCAGAAGTGTAGTAAGAGGCAAGACCCTGCATCCCACCAGTACTGCATACTATGGGTTTGGTCTTAGTAGGCAAGGAAGTTGATATCAGGCAGCCCAAATAAGCCAAACAATGGTCACCACAGCTTAGTGACCGAGTGTGTCTACGTGTTACTGTGGACCACAAGGGAACTGACTGGATCTGCCTGGCAAGGAAGCACAGAGTAGCAGATCCTACCTGAGGAATTAGAAAATATGACACCAGGGGAGCCTTCAAAGATAAGTATGCTTGTCAGATGGTCTGTGGGAGAAAGGGCACTCCAGGAAGAAGGCACAGGTATGCAAAAGCAGGAAGACATCAAATGTTGAAAGCTTTCAGAGAATGCCAGACGCTAGGGCAGGGCAGTGCCATTAGACCAGGAGCTTCCTCCAGAATGGAAATGAATGAGATCACTCAGCTGATGCGTCCACAGCTTTTATGTTTGAGTGCACCAAGCGTTTCTCCACACAAGGAACAGGTCTACATTCTGATGCAAAGTCCTTATATCTCACTGTAGCACACAGTTTTTGACTGCGATAATGAGTGGCAGGGGTAGTGAAGTGGTGTGCTTGTCTGGGTAGACTAGAGAACCAAATTCATAGACACTCATATGTGTATAAGAAAGAGCTTTATATAAAGAGTAATAGTATATTAAGAAAACATCCCAGCCCAGTCCAGATCAAGCCCGATATTAGCCCATATGACTGATAGCAGTCTATAAATGCCTCTTCAGATTCATGCAACACATACAATGATGCTGAATGCAGGAAGATCACAGGCCAGTGGGTGGGAAATCTTGTGGATCCAGTGGTGGTGGAAGCAACTCTTGTCAGTGATGCTGTGGGTCTCCACATGACTCCTCCAGCTCCAGGGCTCTGGCTCCATCAGGGTAGGTCCATGTGTCTTATCAACAGGAATATCTCACTGCAGAGAGTGTCTGTGCCCCACGTCCAGCGAGGTATTTATTTCTGTAGCACCTCCAAAGGAAGGCATCAAGCTGCGACCCATTTGACAGGCTAACCTCGCCCCCCACCCCCCACCCCACCCCGCTTTATTTTTAATAGTCTCGAGTTGACACCAGATTAGATAACTGCCACAAGTGAATTACCAGATGGGGCTGTGTCCCATCTGTTGAGAGCAATTCAAACCCACCAGCCATTTTGCAGAAAAAAGATGAGGCTGTTTGCTCCCATAAAGATTTAGCCTCAGAAACCCATAGGGCAGTTCTACTGTGAGCCTAATGGGGTCTCCCTGAATGGGAGTCACCTCCGTGGCCATGGGTTGGGTGTGGTAGTGCATCGGACATGGAGCAGAAGGTGGGATAGTACAACGGAGAGCTGGGGGGGTGGGGGTGGTGCAGAGCATGAACATCAGGACACAGAACCCACCGGGAGTCCAGTCGGCTTGGAGAGCATCGTATTGGAGCACTCGGTTCTCGATCCTGCTCTGGTTTCCGGTCGTGTTCTCACCTATCTGCAGTGAACTGAGACCGTCGGAGACAGTTCAGAGAGTGTCGCGTCCAGCTAAGTTTATTCTCTTTTAAAGGATTCTCCTTCAGATAGAAATTACAGCCTTCCAACTTTGGGAAGAAGTTTATCACTCATTCATTTATGCAGTTAGGGTGACAGTAGATTATGGAGCTTTGTTCTGTGTAATTAATGCTGTCCTTCAGATAAAGCCTTGGTTGCTGGGTCCCTTGGAGCTCTTGGAGCTTCTGATAATCTGGGAAATCCACAAGACTGGCACCTCATAGCCAGGTGAAGGCCTACTCTCTGGGGAGGCCTGGGGAAGAGCTGGCAAGATCCAGAAGAGGACGGAGACAGGTGGGATCTACAGGACAACTGACTAGACCGTTCAGATCCCGCAGTGCTTTGCGTGCACCTTTCCAAACCCTCAGTACATCATCAGAGCCTATCCCTGTATCTCCCCCATGAGTCAAACATTGAGAGTGCAATTTATGAGATGCACTAGTACACAGCTCATCCTCTGAACTGCACTCGTAGAATCATCCCGAGTGTTCCATCACTGAGGGCCACGGGCTCCGCGGCCATGCCCTTTGGGAACAATCTTGCCAGTGAGGTGACTGTGGGTCCTATGTTTCCTATCCTGCCTTCTTTCCTGAGAGGAAAGAGGACCGTAATGTTCTGCTTCTCCTCTGGTATTTACTGCTTTCCCTACCATCAGAGCAAGCTCCACCCATGCGGATTACCTGGGCGTCCTATTACTTTAATCTCCAAACAAACTGAGGGCTGGGCTGGTCCAACTGATACCAGTAATGAAAGCCTGTGGGGGAAACAGATCTCATATTTGATTTCCATGTTCTTTTCTGGCATTCTCTAATCTACAAAGGCAAAATGGATTGCAGTCTGGTTACAATCAAAATGGCCTAGCCATTACCTCTGCAGACGCAGCCTTTCACAGTATCTCCTAATCATTACCGTGCTTCCGGTTTTTATCATGTTTCCTACTGTATGTATTATCTTCTTGAAATCACACACACACACACACACACACAGCCCATACATACTTCCTGCTGAGGTCCAACCACGGTCAGTTCCTTTGATTTCAATTCTATTCCTACAGGAAGTCGATTTAGACACCTAATCCTTGAAATTCTTCTCACACACAGCCCAATTATTCCCACAGAATAATCACCTTCCCCCTAAAATAGAAAAGAAGAAACCAAAGCAGTTGCCATCACGTGGCGACCCCAGGTGAGGAGAACCACCTCCACTGAGCTGTCAATGGCTGGTTTCTTAGAACAAGGTCGGCAGGTCTTTCTTCTGAGTCACCTCTGGGTGGGCATTAACTGCCAATGTTCCTGTTCGAGGCTGAACTAGCTCACTGTTTATACCATCAGGGGTCTGCAATAGACTGCTCTCATTTGGTGTGCTCTCTGTAAGCATGTATTTGCTCAGAAGTAGCCTTGTAGAGATGCACTCTCTCACTGCCAGCGAGTCCCTGTGGACCCAAAGCAACCCAATAGGACAGGGTAATAGAACTGTCCCTGTGAGCTTCAGAGACTTGCTGGAGTAGAAAGCCCTGTCTTTCTCCCTCTAGTGACTGGTGGTTTTGAACTGCCAGCCTGCCAGTTAGCCCAACTCTTAACCACTATGCCGCCAAGGGCTCCTTTGAAACTGTAAATTTTTACAGGAGTAGAAAGCCTCATCTTTCTCCCACAGATGGTGGTTTCGAACTGCTAGACTCCAGTGACCACTGCACCACCAGGCAGCCTCTAGATTACGCAAGGAAATTTGACCATTGGACTAGCAGCCCTTACATTCTTTTTTCTTAAGCCCCCTTCCTCAAAATAAAATGCCGGTGGCTTCCAGTGGCAAAGATCACAGGCCTACACAATGGCAAAGAGGGGTGGGGGTTAAATGATAGCTACACAGCAGAAGGCCAGAGAGCAGCTTGCAAAAGCTGACCTACGTGGGCATGCTGGTGATTCTTTAAGAGAGAATGGGATTGGGATGGGGGTTCAGAGATGGGGAGAGCCACTGTGCACCCCTTCTAGTCTGGAGAATCAGTGTGTGTGTGTGATATTGTCATCATGCATACTGTGCCCCACTGTGGCGTAGTAGAACGTTTTCTAGGGTGTAATAGTAACGGATAGATTTCTAGGCCTTTTGCCTGCAGAACCATTACGTGGGTTTCAGCCCCAACCTTTGAATTAGCAGCTAGCCCTTAACCATGACGTCACCAGGGCTCCTTTGTGATCCCAATAAAACCCCATTGCCATTGAGTCAATTCCAACTCAAAAACCCTGAAGGGCAGCGTAGAAGTACTCTTTAGGGTTCCCGAGACTAAATCTGTACAGGAACAGACAACCTCAGTTTTCTTCTTGGAGTAGCTGGTAGGTTCGAACTGGGTACCTTGGGGTTAGCAATCCAGTGCCTATCCTCAGCACCACCTGGCTCCTTTTGTTTGTGATTCGAGGTAGGCTCTGGCATTGTGGTGTCCACAGACAAGGACATGGAGACTAGGGATCATGACTGAGACTGACCTAATGAAGGTTCCGCTGCCTCATTTGCAGATAAAGGACCTGCGAGGAGGCTGTCTCAGATGTCCTCGTAGGACCCCAGCCTCTGGGCTTTTGGTACCACCAGTGTACATGTTAGTAGCTCGGAGCCTTTGGCTGGCAGGCCCGCTGTTAGGAGAAGAAAGTGCCCACCATAAAGAATAATTAGCAGCATTTGTCAAGGCGATCTGCAAGTAGCTGATGCTGTGAATAAATATTGAGCCATCAAATTATACTTAAAAAGGTTTAATAAAATTTAGTACAGTAGTATTTTCTTTTTAATTACATTTAATTAAGTCACTAGAATTCAGAGTTGATTCTCAATGCTTGCACATTTTCCAGGCACATGATGAAACCATTCATTTTCATTTTTGGAGAAATTCCTGTATGTTTTACGGAAAGCTCTGGACTTGATTTATAGCTTGCTGGGTCTCTCTGGCACACTCCGCGTGTTGACAGTGCTTTCTAATTCCTGCTGCTCTGCAGGGGCGAGAGGTTCGCCTGGGTTACAGCCAGTGGTTCAGTGTTTTCATTATGTAAAAATATCACTAAGCCTCTCTTTCTCCCTAACAGGGCCTGTATCAACAGAGTAATTCACCAGGGGAAAGACCTCTCATTTACGTTACAGATTGAGGAACAATTGTTACTCTGAGCTGGGACCTGCCAGGATTCACAAAGAGGATAAGTCATTTTCCTGTAACCACAAGATGACTCAGGTGAGGAAGCTCTTTCAGCGCCTAATGCAATTCAAACTCTTGTCAGCTTGTTTGATAATGTGCACATCCAGTCAATGTAATTTGCCCCAATATATATAGTTATATCTGTATGATAACATGATGTAAACTGAATTTGGAGTTGATTTTGCACTGAGTGAGAAAAAGATTTCCAAATCATTGTGTGGAATAAGTAAAAATGACCAAACCTTATTTACTATCTTTTAAGAGAGCGAAATGTTTTTGCTAGGTCTTAGGCACATTGGTGAATGTTAATTTTTGTCCCATAGATATTTTCATTACACGATCTATACTGCATGGACGTGGGTGTTGAGATGTGCTGTGTTTTTAAATGCAAAAAAAAAATAAAAGCAAACTAACTCATCATTGTACTCTTCTGATACAATCACATTATTTTAACCGCCCAACTTGCTAACTGACCGACACATTGCCCAGCGAGATCAGTCCCGGGAGAAGGCCAGCATGCTCGCTAAATAGAGGGGCAGCAAAAAACAGGAGTCCCTCATGGAGATGGTTTGGCGCAGTGACGGCAACAGTGGGCTCAGGCAGAGGGATGAAGGTGAGGACGGTGCAGGACCAGGCAGTGTTCCCTTCTGTTGTGAACAGGGTCTCTGTGGGTCAGAACCAGCTCGACGGTGCCTAACAGGAACACGTGTGGTGACATTGACACATGGCAACGCAAAGGTTGGTCGGCGATGACCGTGTAGTGATTTGGGGAAGGCTGATGAGCACAGTGACGCGGCCTGAAGAGCGGGGTCCATGTCGCTGAAGTGCACATGCAGCAACTGCTGCATCGGCTGTTGCTTGTGTATGTTCTCACCCAAAACAAACAAATAAAACATGCCTGTTTTCAAAAGCACTCTGAGCTTTAACATATCTAGCTTGCAAATAAGTGCACTTGATAGGCCTGGGGAGAGATTAACTACTTCCTGGTTCTCCAAAATGATCTGTCCCTATTGTTTTAGATAGACTTTCTTTTCCTTTCAAATGAATGGCTTACTGTTCAAAGGGAGGGAAAAAAGAATACTGATGTTCACCTGAAATCTCCTCCAGCGATACTTCACACCTTCCTGGTGTCTGTAGGTCCGCTCTTTATGAAACACCGAACGAGGATCCGCTCTGTCCCCTCCATCCCTTCCTTTCCTCGTGGCCAGCTTTCCAAACACCTCAAGTGACCTGAACTCACTGACCTGTGTGCCTTCCCTGTCTCCCATTGTTCACGTTTGCACCGCCAAGAATCAAAGTGACCTGACCTCTTTCGAGCACCCTTGAGCAGATACCTTTTATAAGTTCACTTTAAATTGCAAGAGAAAAAACTGTACAGTTTTTGCCAGACAAAATCATTTTTATAGAATTCCTTTCTTTCCTGCCAGTGCTTCTAAGCTGAAGTCCAAGGTAAAAGGCCCAATTTTTATGCATTCATTTTACAGTATATGATTCCAGAGCTGACTGGTAAATTTCTTTCTTAAAGATTTATTTTTTAATCACACTGGAAATGAATAGCAGTGGCCTTACGGTAATATGTTAAACTCCAACATATTACAGCTCTGGACTTACAGCAAGAGCTTTTAGCCTTCTTTGGTAGTAGAAATCAGCTCATATTTGGGGTTTAAAGGTCCAAGCAAACTTCAGTTGCATTGATCAGTGTTTAATCGTATGATTCAATGAGGTTGGAATGTGTAAGTCTATTTGTGAGCCCTGTTAGAAGACAAGGGTAGAGTCTGCATTGCAGAGCAACCTTCGAGAATCCTCTTGCCAGTGAGCTGTTTTAAGCCGAGCTGGAAACAGTGGTGCCCTACTCAAAGACAGCAGCCCAGCACACCGCTTCAAATGTGGGTCGCTCTCCCACATCAGGCCCCTGTCCACCTCTTGCGAATCTCTCATTCCAGAGCTTCAACCCACAACTTTATTTCTTCTGGTTATTATTCCTATCACCCAAATTCATGGAAGTTTGGGTCTCTTCTGGTGTCCCTCCATCAGCCATGATTGAACCAGTTTGAAGCTCTGAAAAGCAGATTCCAACATAGCTGAGATTTGTCTTAATGAGGCAGAGTGACAATAAAACAGCAAGGTTATCAAAGAATGACGGTGCATACAAACAGGAGCCCATGCTGTTAGAAGCTGATGCTCCTGTAGTATGCAGCCAGGATCCTTGATACCATCTGCTTCCATCAGTTGTTGAGCTCCGTGCTCCCCCTCTATCATGGTAGTGGAGGCGATAGTGGACATGTTTTATCCTTTATTTCAACGTGAGTGACTAGATAAAGTTCTTCAGTGTCTCCGAAGTACAGTACGTAGACCAGAGGAAGCAAACGGAATGTCTTTTCTCTCAGCAAACTCATAATTCCCTTAACTGCTGCCCTCCCTGATAGGAAAACAAAGAGCAAATGTTTTCAGTTCTTCACTGGTTTAAATTAAACATCCTTAGCTTAGGTTTCGCCCGAGGTGAACACTCCCTCCACTCTTTGTTTCTATTCCTAGTCCACTCATTGCTGGCATAGCTATTCTGATCGACAGGGACCATGTAATACTCTTTATGATTTTGTGATGTTATCTCATGGGAATATTAACTTGTTTTACCTTTTGCTCTTAGTGTGAATCTTCTTTTCTTAATCACACTACCAAGTTGAGCAGAAAGTTTCTTTTATATATAAAGTTCATATGAAAAAAATTTCAGGGAATTTACGTGCACAGAGTCTTTTAAAATGTAGTACTGGAGAGCCCTAAGCCTACACATGAATTTTTATAATCTTAACTGTAAAATACAGTTCTTAAAATATGGTTTCATAGCTCTCAAATCTTAAAAATAGACCCGACAGGGTCCCCCCTCTTTGGCAGTTTGAGGGGAGACAGAGGACGGTGTCTGAGGGGACTGAGTTCCCCATATGGCAGATTTTGAGTTTCCCATTGGAGTCAACTCCTTCCGTGCCAACTGGAAGGAATGGGCCGTATGATGTCAGTTGCTAGCAACTCTGACATCTGCAAGTGCAATAAAATCAAATGCATTTGTTTGTGTTCTCTTAATGATCTTGCCTGGCTGACTCCTTGGTGGGAAATTTTTAAATAGACTTAAGTCTGCTAAGAGCGTGATTAAAAAGAAAGCGCTCCGTGTTTGGGTTTCTCTGGTGTGTAGGCAGTCATAGCTGTTCATATGTTTGCTTTGTAAACTCTGGCTGAAGGTGCGATATAAACTGTTTCAATTTGGTCAGACCTCAAAACTCAGACTTATGCTGCTAGGAGTCTGCTGGAAATTCGTTTTTATAGGGTTGTGGTCATTTTTTTTCAGGTCCAGAGTGATTAAAGACAACCTTTCACTCATTTGTCTTCTTGCATTTTATCCTGGAATGCTCTTCCTTATCATAGAATCCCAGGAATAAATCCAGAAGGAAGGATGGAATTAGAAAATCATCATTTGGGTTAATCACAGTAACAGGCGGGAAAGGCCGAAGGAGGTTAAAAGTAGTGAGTTAAAGTATGCGAAATCAGGATGTTTGCACAGTCTCAAAATCCCTCTCCACAAGATTGACAGAGGGGAACATCGTTACTTTTCCATGGAGTAGGTTTACTAAGTACTTCCTATTTCCCGGGATGGGGGTGGCCAGGGTCGGGGGGAGGAGCAGAGGCTGCCTGGCTTCGGGCCCTTCTCTCACCACACTGCCGTCTGAAAGGTGTCCAGTGTAGGCTTTCCTCCTTTCCTCGCTCCCCAGGGGGAGAAGAATGATGCCCTCCTCTGCCCAAACTCCTGATTGGTCCATTTGTAGGGCGGTGAGAGCTAGTGGGTTGCTATGAAACGGGAAACTATAGTGCTACCCATGGGTGGTTTTAGCGGGCCTTCCAGTCTAAGAAAAGAGGCCTGGTGGTCTTCTTTTGCAGATGAGCCCCGAAAACTGTGGATCACAGTCTATTGTCTGAAGCATCCATCCGCGTCCTCTGGCTATGTCCTCAGGACGGCCAGTTACTGGAGAAGGATATATCACACTCATGAAGTGGCGAGGTGAGAATAGCTCTCAGAGAGGTGGCGTAGCACCCTGGCGGTCAAAGTGGGCTCAGACGTAGCAGCAGTCATGAAGCTGATGCAGGACGGGACATGTTTCCGTCTGTTCTACATGCGGTCGCCGTGCATTAGAGCCAGTTGGTGGGCAACCGCGGCTCCGTGCACGGTGGTTGCGACAAGGTGCTCAAGCGTAAGCACCTTTGTGAGGCTGGCTCAAGACTGCACTCCACGGCCCCCTGACGAAGGGCAGCAAGGAATACTCCGCTCTGCTCAAAGGTAGAGCCCATTCTGCGTGTTTCCTTCCTCCTTGATTAAGGAGCTCCTGTGCGTTGAGTATGGAGGCTTCAGCCCTCCGTGACCCACCTGGTTCCTCCAGGGGCATCCCGCCAGTGCCAGAGACAAACAGCTGAAGGATGACGACAGAGCCTTGTACTCCATAGACACATCGTGGGGTGCAGGGCGAGTCTAAGGGGGTACGGTGAGGGGGGGGGGGCGCAGAGCTGCACTACCTGGTACGCACCAGTAGGGCTATGTGGCTTCTTACATGAGAGCAAATATTGCTTATGTTAGTGGCTAACATACGACAGTCTGAGCCCCTGTCCTTTCCCGTGGAACACCCTCACTCTGATACGGCCAGAGAATCTTTAAAGGATGGAGCGGGCAGCCCGCAGAACTGATTGTGTACTTCCCCCTCTTCTGCTGGCCCAGATGCTGCAGGGGAGGGCTAGGCACGGCTTCCTGGAGGAGGTAAGTTGTGCCAAGAATGAATAGAAGTTATCCAGGTGTAAGGCATTGAATTATGTCCCGTCCCACCTTCTGAAATGTGTGTGTGTGAGTGTGTGTGTGCTGTAAATCTTACCCTCAGACCTGTGGTTATAATTCTCTTTGGGAATTCATTCTTGTTGTGGAGAGGCCATATAAATGCTGAAAGTGTTTTCTTATTATTATTATTAAATAAATCATTTATTGGGGGATTTTACATATATTATAACAAACCATACATCCGTTTTCTCAAGTGGACGTGTACAATTATTAAATGCCGAATGTGTTTTAAGCCAATCACTTTTGAGGTATAAAAAGAGCAAATTAAGCCTTGAAGAGCAGCCAACTGAGATGGGAGAAGATAGCTTCTCCAACCCCCTCCATAGCCCCCACCCCCAACTCCCTGAACATTACCAGGGAACCAGAGGCCACGGAATTCCCATCGATGACACCATTACCAAACCATTACTTTCTGAACACGACTGCATAGGTAAAGACTTTGTCTTTGCCTTCTTGTCTCTCGGCAGTGGTGACGAGGGTCTGGTACAGGTGAGTGTGCTGAAGAGGAGCCCAGTGCTTGCAGACTGCACCGCGTGGTGAGGACCCCTGTGTGTCAGAGTGGAACTGTGCCACACAGGCTTCAAACACAAATGTTCTGGGCAGTAAGTTGCCAGACTTTTCTTCCGAGGAGCGTCTGGGTGGACAAAGACTGCCAGCTGTTTGTGCTTTCGTCTTTTTGTACCACCCAGGGACTTGGCAGACGTAGGTCCCCAAACCTATAGGACAGCTGTCCCCTCACTCAGCTGTCAGGTGCACACGGTGACCTGCTTCCCTTGGCGTGGCCCAGTCTTCCCCAGGATGGACCAGGAAGCCGCCCAGCTGGAGAAGCAGCACGTGCATGATGTGTACGAGAGCACCGCGCCTTTCTTCAGCGACTTGCAGAGCAAAGCCTGGCCGCGCGTCCGCCAGTTCCTCCAGGAGCAGAGGCCAGGGAGCCTCGTCGCTGACATAGGTAACCCAGCGCCGTGTCCCGTGGTGCCACACGCATGCCTTCGTGCTGTTTTTCTGTTCCGATTCAGTGTGCTTTCCCATTCTAACAAAACCCAAACTCGCTGCCACCAAGTCGATGCCGACTCACAGGGACCCGAGAGGACGGGGAGGGTTGTCACGGTGGGTTTCTGAAACTGGAACTCTTCGTGGGAGTAGAAAGCCCTGTGTCTCCCTTATCAGCTTGGATGCTCTTGTTCCATTCGTGGCAAACCAGTGCTGAGCATTCTTGCTCTATAGCAGAAACGCGTGCCTGTGCTCAAGTGAGCCAGCAAACCACTTGCCACATCCGCAGAGTAACCGCCTCTCCAGAACCTCAAAGGACCTGACATTGATTGACTAGCTCAGGATGAGAAGGGCCGCCCGTGAAGCTGGCCGTGTTCAGTGTAGAGGCATTCACCTTGGTGAGTATCGTGTTGCGCGCTGGGGGCCCACCTTGAAGGGCTCTCGTGCTTTCTGTGACTTGATGGCAGTGAATGAGAGATTGCTCGTGGTGCTTTGCCACTGTCAGGTAGGGCACAATAACCCCCTCCGAGTACCTGTGCACCCTTCCAGGTCCATCTGTAGCAAAGAGGCCGTCGTCACTCCTGTCCGTCTCCTGGGTTTTGTACTGCTCTGCTCACATGTTAACTCTTCCGTGAAGGGAAACCCCAGAGATGAATAGAAGGAAGGAAAGGATAATAAGATAACTGTCCCCAAGGAAAATAGTTTGCTTTTCATTCTGGGAGTTCTGGCTAGCACAAATCACCAACTTTTTGTTAGTATGGTTAATTTGATGGGTTATTAAATTATGATTAGTATGCATTATTATCATGATAAATGGAGAAAAGCTTGAAGTTGTCAAGAATTTTGTCTTGCTTGGATCCACAATCCATGAACATGGAAGCAGCCATCAAGAGATCAAAAGAGGTGCCACACTAGGTAAATCTGCTGCATGAGACCTCTTTAGAGTACTGAAAGCAAGGATGTTTCTTAGAGGACTAAGGTGCATGTTTGAGGACTAACAGCAAGCCATGGTATTTTCAATTGCCTCATATGTACATGAAAGTTAAATGTGGAATAAAGAAGACAGAAGAAATCTATGCATTTGAATTGTGGTGCCAGAGAATATTGAAAGTACCATGTGGTGCTAAAAGGACAAACCAATCTATCTTGGAATAAGTATAGCCAGAGTGCTTTTTAAAGGCCAGGATGGTGGGACTTCCTCTTACAAACTTTGGACATGTTGTCAGGAGCGACGGGTCCCTGGAGAACCTAGACCCTGGAGAAGGATATCGTGTCCAGTAGGGGAGAGGGGGGCAGAGGAGAGGAAGGCCCTCAGGGAGATGGACTGACACAGTGGCTGCAACAATGGGCTCACGCGTAGGAACCATTGGGAGGATGGCACAGGCCCGGGTCCTATTTCGTCCTGTTGCACATAAGGTCAGTATGGGTCACAACCGACTCTGTGGCACCTAACAAAGACAACGTAACGTCACTGATACCGTACATAGGAGAAAAGAAAGCAGAAGTAATCACGTTCCAGTTGGCCAAACAGGAATGCTGCTGGCAGCTTAGCTGCTTTCATTTCAACTTGCTGATGACTGAAATTTTATTAGCCTCATCGTCCTATTCCCCAATCAAGCAGAGTTGCTCAATTTTGCGATAATGGCTCATGCATGGAAATTAAGCCTGGGGGGCAGATATCAAGGACTAAATAAGTAGGGACTATCATCTAAATGAAAAGGACTTTAGTTAGTTACAGGGAGCAGATATACCAGCGTACTCTCAGGAAATACCGTGGCCTTTGCAATTATAGCAGGGCCATTGGGGTGGTTAATTTGAGGCCAGTCAAAGTCAAGTGCATGCGAAGGCGCTTGGGTGTTGTTCTGCGGCCCCAGGTCTTTCCTTGGATCCGCTGTGAAAGGAGGAGAAGGAGCAGCAGAGCTTCTTTTTTTTTTAACTAGGATTCTTTTCTTTCTTTTAACAACTTATTAGGAGTTCTCAAATATATCTTTAAATTACAATCCACAGGTCTATTAGATCAAGAATAGGTGTACAACGGATGCCATCACTTTCAAAACATTTCCGTTCTTCTGGAACTCCTTGATAGCAGTTCCTCTGTATCCCTCCTACCCACATTACCACCCCCTCTTGAACCCTTCGTGTATATCATCATTATTATAGTTTTTTGACATAGCTTACACCTCCCAGTGCATCCATTCACCTAAATTTCTGATGCGCATTCCCCTCAAGTGGGGCTGGATAGTCATAGTTGTTACCAGTTCCCCCTTCCTTTCTTCCACGCTCTCCCTGTACCCTCGGGGAGTCATTACTCCCATTACTGTTTCTGAGGGATTTATCTATCTTGGGTTTCGTGCATCGAGACCTTAATTGTACCAATGTAATTATGCAGATTAGTGACATTAGTGAGGTAAAACTAAGGCCCTAATAGTGGGGGGAGGACATTGTAAAGAACCAGTTATGTGTTTCCTCAGTGCTCTACGGCACCCTGGATATCTCGGCCCTTCCATTGGGCCCTTCTCTGAGGGACTGTCCAGTTATCTTACAGATGGACACTGGGCCTCCACGTGGCTATGCTCCTTCTCATCAATGTGGTTGCTTGTTTTTGAACTTCCCGTCGACACCTCATGATTGTACGGCTGCTGTGCTCCTTCCAGGTGTGCTTGTTGCTTCCCAGGAGCAGAGATTTTTTGACCAGGACTTTTGCACCATCTTCACCTCTAGTCATTTTATTTATGCGTACAGTAGAGTCCCGGACCTCGGCGATTATCCGTTCTAGAAGGAGCATTGCGATGCGATGCAGTGGAGTTCCGAATCAATTTTTCCCATAAGAAATAACAGAAAATGGATTAATCCATTCTCAACCACCAGGCTTTTACCCTAACTTTGCCTTTTTATATCAAATACTACACAGAAATTCCAAAATAAATAAGTTCAGAGTTAAATAATATAATTTAAATAACACAACATTGAAAAGTTTTTAACAACTACAGCATGGCCCATACCTTGAGATGGATGAGGATCTGGATCTGTGGACAGGATGTGGGGAGGAGGGATGAAGAGAGAGTCACTGTTGGGAAGAGGAATCCCCTTCCATAGAATCAACTGGTAACTGCTTTTCAGGAATTTTTCCCTTCTTTGCCTTTTTTCACCAGGACCTGGCTGGCTTTCTCTTAAAAAAACCTGTCCAATGTGGTCTGCTCTTGGCATTTCCTTAACTGTTTTCTAAAAGGGCTTACTAAATTATCATCAACAATATCAATAACACGGTTAACCAGTTCCTTATCATAATGATTCTTTTCAAAAGAAACTTTCTTAGGACCCATGTGTCTTATCTAAAAACAGTACAAAAAGCCACAAAAACTAAGAAAATTATAGCAAAACACTTGGAACACAGCCGCAAGAGGTTTAAACAACACGTACTAACAATGGCAACTAACGCTGAGTGACGACTAACTGCTTTTGTTTACAAAAATAACATGCATCTAAGCAAATGTGAAGAAAGCCGATGGTACCTGGCTATCAAACGATATAACGTCTGGGGTCTTAAGGGCTTGAAGATAAACAAGCTGTCATTTAGCTGAGAAGCAACAAAGCCCACAGGGAAGAATCACATCAGCCTGTGTGATCATGAAGTGTCGAAGGGATCAGGTATCAGGCATCAAAGACTCAGAGCAAAAAATCATACTGATGTGAATGAGGGGGAGTGCAGAGTGGAGACACAAAGCCCATCTGTAGACAGTTGGACATCCCCTTCCAGAAGGATCACAAGGAAGAGACAAGCCAGTCAGGGTGCACTGCTGAAACATACAACTTTCCTCTAGTTCTTTAATGCTTCCTACACACACACAAAATCATGACCCCAATTCTACCTTACAAATTCGGCTAGACCAGAGCATGTACATGGGTACAGATAAGAGCTGGAAACACAGGCAATCCAGGACAGATAAACCCCTCAGGACCAATAATGAGAGTAGCAATACCAGGAGGGGAAGGGGAAGGTGGGTAGAGAAAGGGGGAACTGATCACAATGATCTACATATAACCTCCTCCCTGGGGGACGGACAACAGAAAAGTGGGTGAAGGGAGACATCGGTCAGTGTAAGACATGAAAAAATAATAATTTATAAATTATCAAGGGTTCATGAGGGAGGGAGGAAGAGGAAAAATGAGTAGCTGATACCTAGGGCTCAAGTAGAAAGAAAATGTTTTGAAAATGATGATGGCAACAAATGTTCAAATGTGCTTGACACAATGGATGAATGTATGCAATGTGATAAGAGCTGTATGAGCCCTAAATAATTTTTTTAAAGAAAAAAATCACATGCATAGGGTCGAATTCCGATGTTTTGTTCAAGCTCTGATACAAAATTTCCTCGACATTTCGAGTCGAAATCGGTATATGTCTAGTACTGATGCAGTTGAGTACCGGGGTTCTACTGTATGTAATATACATTATCTTTTAAGTAATTGAGATACCTTTTGCCTCTGGCCCTTAAACCAAAATCAAACTCACTGCCATTGAGTCAATGCCAACTCATAGCGAACCTCTAGGGCAGAGTTGAACTGTCCCTGTGAGTTTCCAAGACTGCAACTCTCTCCAGGAGTAGAAAGCCCCATCCTTCTCCCACTCTGGCCCTTATTACTCAAAATGTCTGTGGCCAGTTAGTTTGGTAAGCCATTCTCTATCATCCTCTCTCCTTGAATCTCTGGAAAGGTAAAGCCCTTCGTTTGTGGTGGGTCCTGGGCCTACAGAATAAATCTTATTCCCCCTTGTCTCTGGCCCAGGAAATGAATGGGAACACAAATGGGATACAGTCTTCTCTTTCTCATGAGAAAAACCAATTCTCACTCAGCTAAGATTTGGCCCAAAGAGGGTGACGAAGCAGTTGTTTCTGCAAACTTCGGAGGAAACATTCAGATTCCCTTTGTTCGCTTCAACAAGTGGATGCCCTCCATGGACCGAACCATGTTATTGAATTGAAATAATCATTTTTCGTCTTTAGCATGGTGTTGTACAGAGTGCAGAACAGCATGTACCGCCTGCACACACTTCTCTGCAAGGGGACCATTTCAGGAGTGTCTCTAAAGAAGTATGACTGTTGAGTCCGGAGCTTACTGTGGCATCGAGCATTCTGGCTGGCCAGACCTGGCAATATTTCTGAATTCCTCAGGATAAAAACTTCCCCTTTCCAGCATCCCATTATACTCCATTAGGTCATGGATGATTGCATTCTATTTGGGAGATTCACCAAGATTGCACGTCTCTGAAATTGATAAAGGTGTCCGGAGCTTTGGGGATGTGTCAGGGACTATTTAGATTTGAAACAACCTCTGCTTCCTCCTCATTTCCAGTTTCTGGAGAGCTAGGTCCTTCTAGCTCTAATGGGCTAGGAACCTGGTTTTAATAGTATCTTTGAAATAATTTTCCCTTCTAGTTCTCTAAATGTAGTCCCTGATCCTTCTTTTAAAAGGCCAAAAATCATAACAATTATAGGATAATGTTTCTTAATGTATGAGCACCATCTGGAAGCCCTCGGGTTTAATTTTTAAACACTTAGAGAATTTTATTTTCTCCATGATTGCTCTGGAATAAAGAGACTTAGTGGGATTGCCTTCGAATCAAGAGCCCAGTAGGAGCCCTGGTGTCCATGTGGGTTACTTGTTGGACTGGAAAGTACAAGGTCAGCTGTTTGAACCCACCAGCCGCTCAGCAGGAGAAAGGTAAGGCTTACTGCTCGCATAAAGATTTACAGCCTCAGAAACCCGCAGGGGCAGTTGACTCATTGGAAGTGTGTTTTGTTTTGTTTAGAGTCTAGTGATTGAAAGCACTTAGGCTGCTCACCAAAATGTCACCAGTTCAAACCCGCCGGTCACTTCACTGGAGAAAGAGGTGGCAGTCTGCTTCCACGAAGCTGACAGCCGGGAAACCTTTGGGGGCAATTGCGCTACATCCTATGGGGTCACCGTGAAGCGGAGTTAACCAGGTGGCAGTGATTTTTCTGCCCTCAAACAATGGATATTCTTTCTCAGTGAGCATCATTAGGAATGGTGACCCATTTGATCTAAAACATTTCTCAGAGCCCAGACGTGAACATCGAAATAATAACACTGGATATTTTTTAACTCACAAACACCCCACCCTCAGCTGGAATCAATGCACCTTAATTATGCTTGTGTCATTTCAGAACATTCTGAAAAGTACATATCAAGAGGAGTTATTAAAGAATGCCATGGTATTATGTCAGAAGTAGCAAATAAATCATCTTTAAATAGCTATTGTTTTTTGGTAATGGCTAAATATATATCACTAATACCTGTATATATAAATATCTCCAACTGATATCTTTATTTTTTAATGAGGTATTTGTTTGTATCTAAATAACTGCAGTACCAGCTGCATTCTGTAGAAAGCTTAGGTTACATATGAACAAGAATGCTGAAAATGTTCACCTGTTACAAGACACAAAACTGTCTGTTTTGGAACTCAGCTGGACATTTGCTATTATTCTCTTCTGTAACCCATAGCTCAAAGCTCACTATCTTCTCTGATCATGATGGTTATGAATCTGTTACATTTTTCGAATAGAAGCTTTCCATTTGATTCATGAGATGTTAAAACTTTAAATGTTTCTAGAAAGAAACTGAATGAGATATCAGAGAAATAGAGTATTAAGTTCTGGATAAAAGTTTGTTGTTGTTTTTCAAGATAGCTATTCCCTCATATGATGACCTTCTGCATCAGTCATGGGAGCCCTGGTGGTGTAGTGGTGACATGTGGCGTTGCTAATCACAAGGTCAGCAGTTCCAAACCATCAGCTGCTCCTCGGGACGAAGACAAGGTTTTCTACTCCCAGAGAGAGTTGCAAAGGGAGTTACAGTGTCAGAAACCCACAGGGTCCCATCTGCCCTGTCCTGGAGCATCTCTCCCAGTCCAAATCAATTCAATGGCAGTGGGTTTGGTTTTTGTCGGTTGCTTGCGTGGTTCTTACCTGAATAATATCAGTAAGGCCTAATTGGCCTGATCTTTGGGCCGCACAAATCCTAGAAGTGAATGTCAAAGACAGCCCATTGATGGAGGGAAAAAGCTTCCTGTCACAGTTGTACATGAACGTTTTGAAGCCCCTCCGTCTGTGCATACTGCATGAAATCCTCAGGTGCAGGTGACTGGCATCCAGGGACTGCATAGTCCCCTGTGGTCAGCTAAGACTTCTTCCGAGGGTTCAACAGTGTGCTTAGCTCCACGGACCTTATCTCCTTAACTGCCCCCAGATGTTATTGCCTGTTTCCATTTCCTGTTTCTCTTCTATGTTTGACATATGGAAATGCGTTAAGCATTCCCTGGAAGCTGGCTTTCAATTTTGTGAATGTCTTCGTGCTGTGTTGTGTTCTGTTTGGGTACATTCGTTAGCACAGGTGCTTTGTTACGAGACAAACGAGCTGGCAGGCTTTCCTCTGTTGGTTAAGGACAGCGCGTCATTCAGGGCTTTTCTCTTTCAGGTTGTGGCACTGGAAAGTATCTGAAAGTGAACAGCCAGGTACACACCCTGGGCTGTGACCACTGCGGGCCATTGGTAGAGATTGCCCGGAATAGAGGGTGTGAAGTCATGGTATGTGACAACCTTAATCTCCCCTTTAGGGATCAGGGCTTCGATACCATCATCTCCATAGGAGGTAAGGCAGCCCGGTCACGAGTCCGCTCTTCGCCATGAAAATAATGTAACAGGGTTGATGAGGCCACTCTCACAATCCAGCTTCCATTCTGTGGAGCAAGGTCTAAATCATTCATGTTTACCTAATTACTATATATACATATATATGTGTGTGTGTGTGTGTGTGTGTGTGTGTGTGTGTATTTCAATTAGTGAGGTGTGTGTGTGTGTGTATTTCAGTTAGTGGGCTCTGGTGGTATAATGATTACTCATTGGGCTTCTAACTCCAAGGTCAGCAGTTTCAAACCACCAGCCGCTCTGAGGGAGAGAGAAAAGGCTTTCTACTCCCATAAAGAATCATTGGCTCAGAAACCCAACAGGGACAGTTCTACGCTGTCTGAGAGGGGCGCTAGGAGTCAGAATCCCCGCAATGGCTGGAATTTGGTTTTGATTTGGTATTTCAACTGTTATTTAGCTAATAGCCACTGAATGCACTTAGGGTAGGAAGCGGTTAAACCTGCACAGTGTGACGGTACACGGTCCAGTGTTTCCTTCTGGCTTACTTCTCTTGGGAGTAAGAGTACCAGAGGAACTGTGTGCATGAGAGTAACCCTGGGCTAGACTGAAAGGAGCTCAGCTTCCTCCAACGTCAGGTTGATTCCCAGGCGTCATATTACCGTTTCCGGCCACACGATGCCCTTTGGGAGCAGATTGTTGTAGGCGACTCGGGCCCTGAATGTGACCCAGAATGTGTCGTCTAATCAGCCACCCACTCGCACTCGAGTCCCTGAGAAAGATGGGTCCCACCAGGCCCCAGATCGCATTGTTTACCTGGCCACTCGGCTTCCTTACTGCCAATAAGTGTTCCTGAATCTAGGCAGAGGAGTTCTTCATGCCCTCCCAACAGGGTACCCACAACTACCTGAGCCCCAAAGGTACGGACACAGCAAAAACCCATGCCTGAAAGACACACGGGTGAGGAACATTTCCCCTGAGACTGGTGCTCCTGAAACCTAGCTTGTCAGTGCCATTTAGATAGGCCAGAGGCAGCCACCATTTACTAGAGCAATTCTGTGGCAACTTCTTTTGCACAAAGAAAAACCCCTTTCAAAGCAAACTGTCGGCTTCAGTGCACTTTTTAAAAATTAATCTAATATATAATAAACTCTTCTAAAGCCAGGGGAGACTATGAAAAATGGACTGCTATTCATGATAAAAATACAGAATGAGAGGGGTTTTTTCCTCCCCCATAATGGATGGAGGAGCGATTTATTCAACATTCAGTGGGAGTAGTGCCTTTTGCATAGGGCGAAGAGGTGTGCCCAGGCCCCCTAGTCTTGAAACTAGTTGGGACCAACAGGAGCTGGTTGCCATGGAAACCTATTCCAGGGCAGCCCTGTTTGATTGCAGTTGAAACAATGAAGTCCGTTGTGCTTGGAAGCAATGAGAGATTCTTTTTGAACTAAGCAATATGATACAATGCTTGGAACCCTTGCCCAAAACAAAGACTTGGGCTTCCTTTTTCCTCTGAAATAATGAGAAATCAGAGAAGTGCCCTGGCGCTGTTTACATTCATGTTAGCATAAGGCTAACGGTGACACTGAACCGTGGGAGAGACGTGGAAAGGACTGTGAGGATGGGGCAGGAGCCGACCATGTTTCATTCTGTTGGGGGTTGGGGCTCTTTGAGTCCGGACCCCCTCTGGGGCACCTGATAGTGACCATGGCTCCTGGGGGGAAGTGCACAGTTAAGTCCAGAGTTGCAGCTGAGTCTCACACCTTGCCCCCGGAGGAAATAGAGCACACCTGGTTACCGTTTTTCTCCTTAAATGGAGAAATAGCATGTTTGTTTATGAGCTGTAACTGTAGGTTAATGTCGTGTGGTAATTATAAGCTAGATTTCTCATTTAGAGCTCTAACATGAGCAATTTCAAAAGAATCTCTCTCTTGCACCCACATAGATTTACTTCCCTAATTATATCTGCATGTGTGGGTAATTAGGGTTAACATCAAGAATATAATATATCTTTTGCTTTCCATGTCTCTTGATAATAATAATATGAGAGAGAACATGAGAGTTATCTACACATCCCTGTTTTACTAACAGATTGGGAAATGAGAAACTCCACTTCCTTTTGGATAGTCTGGAGAAGTTCAAGGGAAATTTGGCAGCACCTTAAGCTAGTGTGGGCCAACTACCCCTTTCATGCTAGTAGTCCTCAACAGGGGTGATGCTGGCTTCCCCACCCGCAGAAGACTTGTGAAGGTCTGGAAGTTGTCACAGTTGTGTGGGTTTAATGAGTGTCCCCCTCCCCTCCACGTACACAGCAAAGGATTAAGTAACTCGTGGTGTCAATCACGCACAGCTTAGGAAACCCTGCTTTATGCTAAACCCATAGCTTCAGATTGAGATATGCTTATGGTGAGCAAGACCAGATACGCACTTGAAGAGTAACAACAATACATCATACAGTATCAACAGGCCTTTCAAGAGGGTTCTGGAATCCAGCACTTGAATTCAGCCTACTTCTTTTCTGGGCTCTCAGGAGAACATATGGAGAGTGATATGTTTCCCTTTAAGTTATGATTTTGGTTTCTAAAATGGGAGGGGCATCTTTTTCATCCTTTAAAAAGTCAACATCGTTCCCTGACATTGACAATTCATAGAAAGAAACACATCCTTCCATCTAATTTTAGTTCTGTTCACAATGCTTTTAATAGAACATGCGTAGATATGCATGCATTATACATTATATATGTAACAAATAAATCTTCATCTGTAAGCTTTTTCCTTTTTCATAAATGTTCAGATGACAGGGAGCTATTTATTATCACATGTTAAATATAAATATAAAATCATAAGTGAAAGTCAGGTCTTTTTTGAATGGAATGATAGTATTTCAAGTATTGAAGAATCAATGCCCAAGTACAGGAATGTAAAGAGCGTCCTCTTTAAAACGAAACAATCACAAGTGTGTGTAAGCCCGATAGAGTGCAAAATGGCTCACAGACCCAGCTGCTAATCCAAACGTTAGAGGTTCAGGTCCCTCCACAGGCCCCTCAGAAGACAGGCTTGGTAAACGCCTTCTGGAAAATGGGCGATGGAAATGATAGGGAGCACAGGCCTACACCGTACCCAGGAGCTGAGCCCTGACAGCTGTGTGTTGTTAACTAAGAATCTAAATACTAGCGTTCTCTGAGTCAACTGCAAAGCCTGTTGTAGTCAAAGGATCCTGTTCTACTGATATCTTTTCTCTTATGGTACAATCAATAAAGAGAGAAGATTTGGAAAACTGTTCACTGTGAATTAATTGTAAATGATGGCAAATATTTATGAGGCGTCAGAGTTAGACATTGCAAATCTTTCTCTGGCTTGCCCCCTCTGGCTCAATGACCCAAGACCCTGCTTCTCAATACATATGCTTTTAAATTTATTATCTGGAGGTTTATTTTCTTGAAAGGCAAAACAAAAGTTGAAAAGAAAAGTCTGAAATCTGGAGTGAGATAAAACGACAGGCCAGGGGCACAAGTCTGGCGACTGGTGGCTCTAGAAGGAATCACACCGATGGCCTTTGCTGACACATTTCCGCTGTGAGCCTCTAGCTTGCTGACATGGGGCACTGAAGAGGGTTGCCCAAACAGGAGTGTTCAGAGATTGCTTGGGACTCATTTCCTCCCCAGGATACCCGGTGGGCATGTGTGTGGAAAACTAATTGGATGTTTTCCCTTGGCATACTACTTGATTGTACTCCCGCAGGAGCTAACAGATGAGCACTGCCTGTCAAGTGATGGATTAGAAATATGTCTACTGACACACAGGAGACTAGTTAAGGGCAGCTCTGCTTGACCCTCACTGGCTTTGCAGGAGTTAGAAGTAAAATGATGACCATTGGGCTGCTTTTTTTAAATATACACAATCATTTTATAGCATACTGAAATCTTTAAAAGTGATAAGCAATCATTTGGACGCATGTGGAGCCGGTTATCTTTGCATTATCTAGACTGGAGAACCTGATCGTTTGTTTGCCACTTCCACTTGCTTTATTAATGTCATTAACATTGACTGGTGGTTTTAATCCCTGGGTGCTTTACAAGTGCCAGTTGCCCCTTAGAACAATGAATTGTTTCAAGAAGCTCTACCAGGAAACATTTACTAAATTTAGGAATTCCTTTAAAACGTTATAAATGCACACTGGTTATCCTTCTGGTTGTCAAAATTCATAAAATTTCAGAACTAGAAGAAATCTTCCAAGACTCACCACCATCAAGTCGATTGTGACTCATAGTGACCGTAGAGGACGGAGTATGGGCTTGCAAGCTGTCCATCTTGATGGGAGCACAAAGCCTCATTTCTCGCCCCGGGAGCAGCTGGTGGTTTCAAACTGCTGACTTGGCAGTTAGCAGCCCTACAAACTATTTACTCTGGGCTACTTATTTGGATATTAAATCATTTAAAATCTATAGAAGTTCAATCATTTGCCCAAGAGCTTCCTGATAAGTCCGGAAGCCCACGGTGACGGCTCTGTCTCTCCTAAACCTCGGCTGCACGCGGGCTCACAGTTGTGAGGACAGCACAAAGCTGAGTAGTGTTTGGTTCTGTTTTACATCCGCTCCTCTGAGTCAGACTGACTTGACAGCACCTGAGCTCACCATCGTACACCGAGACTCCGGAGCCCTGGTGGTGCAGGGGATAAAGCATGTTGCTGCTCACCCGAGGTCGGTGGTTGGAACCTACTAGCTGCTCCAGACCAGAAAGACGCGACATTCTGCTGTTGTGAATGTCTGTGGCCTTGGGAGCCAGTTCCACCACGTTTTTTTAGGGCCACGAGGAGTCTGCATCAGCTCAACAGCCGGGTCTGTGATTGTGGTTTAAAGTCAGGCCATTTCCACTACCAGACTTATCCTGGAGGACATAAGATTTTACGAATTGTAACTTTTTCTCGTTGTTGTATAGAAAATGCTAGGCTGTAAACGTAGATGGCTGTGTGAATACTCAGTGAGATCTATCTACTGTCTTCTTTTTCAGTCATCCATCATTTCTCTACAAAACAAAGAAGAATCCGAGCAATAAAAGAAATGGCTAGAGTCTTAGCTCCTGGAGGCCAGCTGATGATCTATGTGTGGGCTATGGAACAAAAGCACCGTCACTTTGAGAGGCAAGATGTCCTTGTTCCCTGGAACAGGGCCTTGTGTTCCCCAGCCTTCCCAGAACCCAGCCAGTCTGGAAGGACTCGACAAGGCGGACATGCAGAAAGGAACCATCCTTACCACTCTCCGTGTTCGGAGTGTAGCTATTCTGTTTGTTTTAAAGAGAGAGGTGATTCCAAACAGTCCCACAACACAGGCCACTATATGGCTAGAACCTGTTGTGCCAACATTTCTAAGGAAGGCGAGGAAGAAAACAGGTTCTATAACACATTAGGGAAATCGTTTCGTTCCTGGTTTTTCTCCAGATCTTTGGATGAATCCTTTCTGAGGAAGCAGGTTGACAGAGGGAGACCTTTGTCAAACCCTGGATGGGCTGACAACACTGTCTCCGTTCAGCCTTCCAGGCATTCCAGTTTAGACCTGGGTCGCTGCGAGCCAATGTCGACACAAGGTCAGACTTTAGATGAGGAAGTGTTTGAGGAACCTGCTACGCAGACAAACGTGCAGCGGCTGAGAGCGCCAGGAGCACAGAACCATCGAGGAGGCCATCGAGGAGGGACAGGGGGGAATGGAGAAGGGCCCGGTGGCCCTGAGAGCCGTGTGGGTGCAGGTAGCTTAGAAGAAGGCCATCCTCCTGCTGGAACACGGTTGAGAAAGAGTTCTACCGCTGGTTCCACGGAGTCCATCCCAGAGGGCACGATTCCTGTCGCGCCGCGGCAGCGGGAAGCTCTGGATGCTAGTTCCTTCATGCGTTACTACCACGTGTTCCGCGAAGGCGAGCTGTGCGGCCTGCTGACGGAGCACGTGGCCGAGCTGCGCATCCTGAGCGCCGGGAATGACCACGGCAACTGGTGTCTCATTGCGGAGAAGAGGGGGACTGATTGAGGGGTCACCTGAGACAGCATCCAGTTTTACCCTTTCTTAAGACCCATTTGTGTTTTGTTCTCCAGAGACTGTGCGTTCAACTTCTGTTTAATCCGTGAGACAGAATCATTGCTGGCCCTTAAAGAGTTCAAGAAAAGGGATTTGAGACTGATCATTCACGTGAGAGATTTCAAGAAGGAATTAGAAGATTCGTGTCTGTGTGGTTTGGATTTCTTTTACCCCTGAAAAACCAAATTCTTGTAAGAATCTGTCATTTTCCAGGATTGCATGCTATTGTTTTTCTATCTTCCCCCCCCCCACCCCCCCCCCCCACCCCCCGCCCCAAGATTCTGTTTTAAAATACATCTTTAAAATATAACACTTTTTTTTAAATGAAGGAAGGTAGTGATTTCTTTTGCCCTGGTTGGATTTCAGATCCACGCGCACTGCCCATGTGTCCACTGGACCATCTGCTCCTAGGCTGAGTCATTGTGCCCCTAAGGCTGGTTTCTACTAGGTCTTCAGAAGAGTGAGGGATGGTGGAAAGAGATTCATAACAAGAAGTATTACAAAGATTTCTATAATAAGCCATCCTGTCTCTAGATAAGTGAATAATAAGATTTTCTGTGTTGCTTAGAAGCTTAAAGGTGCCGTTGGCAGGAGAGAGGATGGAGTCTACCTGTATGAGGAGCTGACGCAAGTGCCTGCAGCGCGATTTCTCGCTCTGCCCTGTGAGAAGTGGCATCCTGGTTACAAGCTGTGCTGCTAACTGCAAGATCAGCAGCTCCAGACCACCAGCCCTCTGCAGGAGAAGGACAGGGCTTTCCAGTGCAGTAACGAGTTACCGTCTCGGAAACTCAGAGGCAGTTCCACCCTCTCTGGTAGGGTCATGAGGAGTTGGCATTGACTCAGTGGCTGTGAGTTGGTTGGAAGCAGGGCTTTATCCTTAAAAGACTAAGTATTACTGCTTTCTTATGGATTGAAGAGGTATTTATGAAATAAGAATCTAGATATAAAAGAATCTGGTTAATACACCTTTTTTTTTTAAAGGCTCTGTTAAGGATTGATAAGGTAACAAGATATGTGACTTTAGTAGTATGTAATATGGGATTTGTTATTAGATTCCTCAACATAAAACACAGGCATTTATTTTACATAAAGTAATAATAGTTTGTTATAAGAATTCAGATAGGGAGGAAAAAACTATTACTTAAAAGTTAAAGGTCTGACAAATAATATATGACAAATTCTACAACTAGAATTCTGTGACAAGTGTCCAATTCTCTTACAGTCATTCCCAACTCCTGGTGACCCCATGTGTGTAAGAGTAGAACTGTGCCCTGTCGGGTTTTTGGTGGATTGTTTTTGCAAGACGAGATCACCTGGCCTTTCTTGTGCGGCACCTCCAGATAGACATGCCTCCATCTTCCATTAAATAGCTGAGCACATTTGGTCAACTAGAGACTCAGAGAAAATGAGGGAAAACCTCAGCGGACTAGATGGAGTCCACACACAACGATCATGGAGCTGGCACAAGATCAGCCACCTCCATTCTGTCGTACATACCATCACCATGAGTCAGAGTTCACTGGACAGAAACTCGCCACTACAACATAGATTAATAGCCCGGGGACTGTGTAGTAACCTCACAGTGAAGTTCACAGGTGAGATCCATTTGGACTTCACCATCGGTCTGTTTCAATCTTTGCCATATTTGCAGAGACATCGGTAGAATGAGAACAGGTGCAGGAAACTTGGGAGACGCTGAAATAGGCTGACCCAGGAAGGTGGACTCAGGTAACCCTTAGTAAGTAGAAAATCAATGGTTTGCCAAAAGCCTTTAGGCTTGATGGACCACTTGATGAAAGGGCAATGTTTGTTTGTTCCCACTAAAATTAATTAAATTAGCTGGAACATCATGAATTGGATTACTGTTTGGTTCTTCAGTGATTGTGCTCAAACCTAAAATAATGATGCTGGTCTCAAAGAAATTGGAAGGGTGATTTTAAATGTCTGCCTGAAAGTTATTTTGACCTGAATATGGGATTGCCGCATCACCTTCTTTGTGGATGAAGGTGTCTGTCGGGAAACAATACATAGGATTGTCGTATTCTATGCACATTTTGTACTGAAAGAGCCAGGAGAAGAGACAGTAGAATAAATTAAAAGTTGATTCCATGTGTCTTCCACTTCTTCAATTAAGAGACTGAGCCTTGGGAATGGCTTTCTGGGTGGAACAGGAAGATTCTCAGAGTGGAGACAGTCTTGCCACTAGGTTTGGTGGCCTGCTTCGGAGTGGGTGCTTCCTTCCCCTGAAGCCTGTTGTCACATGCTTCACCTGTAGTCCTAGCCCTGCTGCTGGAAATCTGTGCTGGAAGTCAGGTCTGTCTTGGGGACCCTACCCTTTAGAGGCCATTCCATGGGACTCGGTTGACTAGACCGTGTCAGAATAGCTTTTCAGCTGTGAGCAACCTCTTATACATACACACATAGCTTTCCAGAAAAGAGTCTGTGGACCAATTCTTGGGAGAAAAGCACTTTCACGTAATTTTGACAGAGCTATCAATAAAACACCACTAATAACTGCATTCTTGTGCTCTTTATCTGCTGAGCTCAAGAATTCTAGGCATCCAGCTGTTATGTTGTATGCAAATACTGAACTCCAAATATGTACCTTTGTGGTTGGCAAACTCTCCTGAAATGGATTGATATGAAAAGCATTAAAATTGTGATCTTTAAATTGCCTCCTGTCTTTGGGTTAAAAAAAGAAAAAGCCATTGAAGAGCAAAATTATGTAGATATGTTTACAAGTTCAAATCTTACTCACCTTTTGGATAGTCTTCAAAAGGAAAATACAAGTCACACGTGAATCTCAACTTGCCTGCCAGTTCAGGTGGGAGGGGACTGCTACCGTTTGAGTTTTTCTGTAAACCTAGTCTTAAGCAGACTAGATCGGTTTACTCATGTCACCCTTCCAACATGTAACTCGCAGTGAGACAGCTGTTGACCACCTCTAGCTGAATAGGCTTGAAGACAACAATGCTGAGTTCTTTTAGGAAATCCCTTACATGTTACTTTGATCTGAATCTCAAAACAAACAAAAGAATTCCTTCTACTTACAAAAGGCTTTGTGATCACTTCTTCCCAACTTGTCAATTCCTAGGAATTATAGTAGTATTTTCCCATTCAATGAGCAAGTGAGGGCTCTTAAGGTGTTCCATTCGTCCTGTTTGTGTCCTGGGCCCCACTGTGTGCCGGCTGCATTAGCACGGTCAGTGAACACTGGGTGTGTGGAGTGGACCCAGACTATTCGCTGAACTAAAAGTGCAAAGCTTGAAGTCCTCACGTGCGTTGCTGTCTTGATTGGTGTGCCTATTTCACTTCTCTGGGTCCTAAGATCCATTGCAGTGGCTACCCAGAACTCACGGACAAAATTCATGATGAAAGGGTCATTAAGGAAGTTAACAAGTTTTACTGCCAGTGAGAAATGCTCAGGGTTGAGTTGTATAACCATCAGAGCATATTACGAAGTTCTTTAAGGCCTGCTAAAAATGCTCTAAGGGGTATGTATACTCCTCCAGTGGAAGCCTCAGCCCTGAAAGCATTCCGTTCAAGCCCAACTTCCCCAACTAAGTGCCCAGAGGCACCCTACACTGCAAGCCAGCCTCCTGCCCCAAAGCACTCAGCTTTACTTGCTCTGTGGGCTACGAGTCCCCACTCTCCCCCTAGTTCTGGTTCCTGGCTCTGCTGCTGCTGCTGCTCTGCTAGTACAGCTGTGGATCCAAGAGGTTTGCTGAGCAGGAATCTCCCTTCCCAAGGACTTGCCCCACTCCTGGCTCTTGCTAGTAATTAGATCCCACTTCCAGTTTCTCTGAGAGCTTATTTTATATGCAGGAGGATGGCATTCCAGGGAATCCTGTTTACAATTACTCTCCTGGGAATCCTACCAGTATCTCCCCCCACCTTTTCCATGATGGAAAAAGTCATTTGGTGAGATTAAGAGGCTTTGGTGAGAAGACCCACATTAAATAATTCACTGCCCCTGTACATTGCATCCCAAGTTAGAGGGTATAGTTTGAGAAAGGCAATATTAAAAGCTTCTCTTAGAAATCGAAATGCGTATTAGCATTATTAAGGGCTGAACTTAAATTAACTGAGCTGAGCGTGCCCAAGAATAATAACATTCCCTAACATAAGCATTCTCTTGAACCTGCAGGTAATACTGTGCCTTATAGAAGAGGGCACATTCCTTAGGCTGGCAGTCACGGCCTTCGTGATTTGAGTCATTATTTTCAGCCTCCTGCACTGGCACCCATTTGTTGTGTGTGTTGCAAAATCTATTTTTACTTAGTCATAGCCCTTATCTAAGAACGATCAGTTCTTATGACATGGCCCAAGAGATCACTGAAGATGACATGGGTGCTTTAGCAGAGTGTGGTGAAAATGTCAGAAAAAATATCATATAGGGTCTTAAAGGCTTGTCTGAAAACAAACAGCCATCAAAGTGGAATGTCAGCTAAGTCCACACAGAAGAAGCACACTAGCTTATGCGACCCAATGGTTGTAAATAATAAAATCCAAGACCAGAAGAGGGAACGATATTAGAGCTTAAATTTTGAGCACCCAGTTTGTAGAAGGTTTGCCTCCATAACAGTGAAAGAGATGGATGGAAAACCCCAAAAGCCCTTTGCAGGGGACCCCCATGGACTAAGCCTCTGACCGTTGACCAGGGATGTGAATAGTCTTCCTATCAGACTGAGCGCATTGGAAAATGGATTAATAAAAATGTACTTGGATTAAAATTTAACATTTTATTGTTTGTATTCCCTTTCAACCAGTTTTAAGTTTGATGTAGTTTTTATTGTTTTCTGCTTCTTTTCCCCTGAGGTTTTTCTCTATTTTGTTATTGTTTTTGTTTTGTTTTTTTGGGGGGGTTATTTGTTGGTTTGGTTTGGGTATATTTTATTTATATGAAATCTAAGATCGGTAGATTTAGAGATAGTAATTGGATTACTAGTTTCTTAAGGTTATGGCAGGGAAGGTTGGAAGCAAATGGGAGCTAACAATAATGAGTAAAAGAAGAAAATGCTCTAAAATTGATTGTGATGAGAGTCCACAGCTTTTTTTAATATGTTTAAGCTGTTTAATTGTATGTTATGTGAGCTACATGTCAATAAAACTTTTTTAAAATTTTTATATCTGCTATTCTAAGCAATGCTTTTATTGGAAATTATGTAAAGACCAGTGGTTATTATGTCACCTCGCTATTGTAGTTGGATTTCAAGTGCACTGATTGCAATCTTTTTCCAAAGGAAAATGCACAGAACAGGTTTTAGTCCATCAGGGGCATTTGAGATAAGTGCTAACGCACACACATCCAACCGATGGAAAAACCAGGGGAGAGGAAAGGAGTTGCAGGTGCGCAGCAGCCTCCAAATGAGGACTCTCAACTCCTCTTATCTCCACACTATAATCTTTCCCATAATGTAGCCCTTGTTTTGATATTATTAACTCCATACTTGCAGCCTCTGAATTTTTCCCAGTTTTATTTTATTTTATTTTATTTTGGATAGTGCCAGTTACTTTTATTAAATTTTTGATTAAGGATTCTTTTTTTTTTAATCAATTTATTGGGGCTCATACACTTCATCACAATATATAGATCAATTGTGCCCAGTTTTAATTTACCAGGAACCTTGATGGTGTAGTGGCGGGGGCATTGGGCTACAAACCATAAGGTTGGCAGTTCAAATTCACCATGAGAGAAAGACGAGGCTGCCGCTTCTGTGTCAGAAACCCTACAGAGCAGATCCTCTCTGTCCTTTGAG